GCGAATACCAGTATGATACCATGATCGGCCCACACCATGCGCCTGGGTGCGCGCCTTGAGGCCTGCTGAAGGTCCACCGATCCATTTGACTCCAGCCTCCAAGGCTGCGAGGCCAGGATGACGGCGCCCAACGCAGCTCCCCGCTGCCACATTGCCGAAAGTCTAAGAAACACAAACTACATAAACTGTATCATCTCCTCAGAACTTTCTCCAGCGCCAGACACCGGGCCAACGCCACGAGATGTCGGCTTGCACCACACAGCTTGCACCATATATTTTGCATTGCATGTCTCACGCGAAACCGCGCCGAAATCAAGCCAAGCCAGGCAACTTGTGAGGACGTCTCAGAACACACCGCGCTGGCACCAAAGTAAACCAAGCAAATTGTGAGGACCTCTCAAGCGGAACTGGCCCCAAACCATGACCAGACAAATCTTGAGCATGTCTCAAGTGGGGCGCCTGGTAAACCAAACCAAACCAAACCAGGACAAATCCGGGGACAAACCAGGCAAACTCTGAGGATGTCTTAAGCGAAACCGCGCCGAAACCAAGCCAAACCAAACCAATTGTGAGGACGTCTCAGACGACACCGCGCCGGCACCAACGTAAACCAAGCAAATTGTGAGGACCTCTCAAGCGGAACTGGCCCCAAACCATGACCAAACAAATCTTGAGCATGTCTCAGGTGGGGCGCCTGGGTAAACCAAACCAAACCAAACCAGGGCAAACCCGGGGACAAACCAGGCAAATTCTGAGGATGTCTTAAGCGAAACGCCTCAAACCAGCCTCCATCCACTGATTCTCATAGAGTTAAACTAAATGAGTTGATGACCCAAAGGCCCCCCCCCGCAAGGGATTTCTGCAGTTAGTTTTTCATGTGGGCGGGGGGGGCCGCTTCACAACTGAACGGTTTCATGTGAAATGAGAATGCTATCGGATCATTGTTTCTTCTCGGGCTATCTACGGCGCCCTACCTTTGTGACCTTCGCGCGGATTCCCTCAAAACACCGGGTTCATTTGGCTGGGCCACCGCAAGATGTCTGCGCCTGGGGCGCAACATCAAGCACGTGACCGAGGCGCAACATCGTGAATTTGCCTTGCGAGTGGTCTCGGGGTAACGGTGTCGCGTTAGGAGGAGCATTCCCGAAGCTGTATTTCAGCGATCTCCCAAAACCAAATCTACAAAATCATGGCATCAACTTCTTTCGCACTGGATCCGCTCGATGAAAGATAACAATTTGGAGGTCCAACGTGGTCAGCCGCTTTGCAAGTTCCGCAGCCCGAATTGATAACTCCACGCGATGCCATCGGAAACCCAACAACTGGTAATTCAGCGCTGCATGCCCAATTTTCCGTGGGCCAAATCGTTCGTTCAAGCATCCATCTCTTGAAGGTTCGCTGACGCATACGAATCCCAGCGCAAATGGTTAAGTTCCCGAACGGCACATCCGCCACCGTGCCCTTCGGCACGGAGTGGGCGTGTCCTCTGGTCTTTTGCTTGATCCTCTACAGCACGGGCCCGACCACAAGAAATCCTCCACAAGAAACCCCACCCTGAGACCCCAGGGCGCCCACTGGTTTTTGCTGCTGGAGCATCACGACCTCCGTCGCAGAACCATCGAGACCCAGGGCACCCTGGAGGCAAGCAGGGTGTTTCTTGGCATTGATGGGCTTGTTTTCCACGACCACCATCATAAGTTGGAGGGGGGAAGGAGGAGGAGGAGGAGGAGGAGGAGGAGGAGGAGGAGGAGGAGGAGGAGGCGGAGGAGGAGGAGGAGGAGGAGGAGGAGGAGGAGGAGGAGGAGAGGAGGAGAAGGAGGAGGACCCCTTCCCCACTCCAACTTACGGTGGTGGTGGTGGTGGAAGACAGGCCCCCACTGTAGGCAACAGTCCTTGCTCCTGGGGGTTCTGAAGCCGCCGGGGCCCCCGCCCGCCAGAGCTCCTTGGGCTTGCCGCGTGCCCCGGAGCCGCGGCGCGGCTCCCGGGAGGGCCAAGAGGGCCGCAAGAGGCGTCCCCGAGGGTCCAACGGGGGCCCCAAGTCGCCGAAGGAGCGCCCCGCGACGCCCAAGATGGTTCAGGGCTGTCCCGGGGGCCTTCGAGACGGCCCAGGGGAGCCCGAAGTGGCCAGAGGCGTCCCAACGAGGCCCTGATGGGGCCCAAAGTATCGATTCCCTTTTCGTGCTTGAAGGTCTCTGACCATCTCGCCTTTTCGGCCTCACGACGCTCCAAGACGGCCCGAGAAGTCTCCAAGATCTCCCCAACACGGCCAAAGAGGCCCCCGAGAGGCCCCCAAGCCGGCCGTAAGGGGGCCCCAAGACGGCCCAAGAGGCGCTCCAGATGGCCCAAGAGGGCCCCAAGACGGCCCCAAGAGGGGACCCAGATGGGGAACCAGAGCGGACATCTCGAGCCCTCGGACCCGAGGGGCCCCCAGGAGGCCCCAAGAGGCCCGCAAGAGGCCCCAATAATTAGGCCCCCCAAAGGTTCCCAGGAGGACCCCAGATTGCCCCTAACAGGCCCTCGAGAGCCCCCCGAAAGAATCCAAAGAACATCCCTGAGAACTCTAACCCGCAATCCCAGCCGCGGTGGCGGGACGGGCCGGAGGTCCGCCGCCCCCTGCTTGCAGGGGTGCACGGCGTGCTGGACGTTTCAGGTTTTGGTTTTGGTTCTTTTTCTAAAAGAACTCCCCAGTGGGCTTCGGCCTGTCCCGCCGGCCACCCGGAAAGGATGCCCAGGAGCTCAATTCCCCAATTTCCTGCCCCAGACGGTTCCAAGATGGCCTCCAAGATGCCTCTAAGACGGCCAGGATGGTCTCTAAGACGGCTAAGATGGCCTTATGATGCCTCCAAGACGGTCCAAGACGGCCTCCAAAACGGCCCAAGAGAGTCCAAGACGGCCCAAGACGGCCCAAGAGGCCCCCCAGAGGCCTCCCAGACGGCCCAAGAGGCCTCCAAGAGGTCCTCCAGGAGAGTCCGAAGAGGCCAAAATCATTGATTTTCCCTTGGTTTTTGAAGGATTTTGGCATTTGCGCCTTTTCGGCTCTCCGACGGCTCAAGACGGCCCAAGAAGCCCCCAAGATCGCCCAAGAGGCCCCCAAGAGAGCCCCATGATGGCCCAAGTGGCCTCCAAGATGGCCCCTAGAGGGCCCCAAGAGGGCCCAAGAGGCCTCCAACACGCCCAAGATGGCCTCCCAGACGCCCAAGATGGCCTCCAAGACGGCCCTGGAGCATTCCAAGCGGGCCCCAAGTCGGCCCATAGAGGCCCCCCAAACGGCTTCCGACGGCTTCAGACGTGCCAGGAACCCACCAAGATGGCCGAAGTTGGCTCGAAGCTGGCCCGAGACGGCCCAAAAAGCCCCAAAGATCGCCCAAAGCTTGCCCAAGAGGCCTCCAAGACGGCCAAGATGACCTTCAAGATGCCCACGTGTTCCCCGAAGGCTTTCCAAACCGATTCGGGGAACACGTGGTCCGATAGCTTGGCAGGTCTGGCCTCAACGTTCGGCCACATAGGCGCTTCCAAAAAGGCAGGGGGCGGCGGTGATTCGCCGTAGGCGTCTTCGATACACTCAGAGAATTCCTGCTAGGTTCCGAATAACCGCCCTGCGCTGTTGGGTATGCCGTCGGCTTGGTCCCGCTCTGGCTGCCTGTCCAGGCCTCCAAACTTCGCGCATCGCGCCCCGCGGCTATGCGCGCGCCCTCGCCCCGCCCCCTGGAGAAGGCCAACTCGGCGGCCTCGGCCGCGCCGCGCGAGGCACTGGTCGGCTGCGCGCCCCTGCCTGGCCGTGCCCGGAGGCTCGCCCTCCGCAGCTGGGAGCTGCTTCTCCCCGGCCGTGCGAGTGCTCGCGCTCCGCTCCTCCTCCTCCTCCTCCTCCTCCTCCTCCTCCTCCTCCTCCTCTTCCTCCTCCTCCTCCTCCTCCTCCTCCTCCTCCTCCTCCTCCTCCCCCTCCCCCTCCTCCTCCTCCTCCTCCTCCTCCTCCTCCTCCTCCTCCTCCTCCTCCTCCTCCTCCTCCTCCTCCTCCTCCTCCTCCTCCTCCTCCTCCTCCTCCTCCTCCTCTCCTCCTCCTCCTCCTCCTCCTCCTCCTCCTCCTCCTCCTCCTCCTCCTCCTCCTCCTCCTCCTCCTCCTCCCTCCCTGTGCCCACCAAACTCCACGGCTGGCTCCTCCCTCCCCTCCGCCTGCAGCACGGTCTCTGCGATCGGGCTCCCCCTCGCCCTTTCCCCCTGCCCCAAGCTGCTCGCCCTGCGCCGCGGCCGCCGGCTCCAGTGGCTCGGCCGTGCCCGATGATAATAATAATAATAGTAGTAGTAGTAGTAGTAGTAGTAGTAGTAGTAGTAGTAGTAGTAGTAGTAGTAGTAGTAGTAGTAGTAGTAGTAGTAGTAGTAGTAGTAGTAGTAGTAGTAGTAGTAGTAGTAGTATTAGTAGTAGTAGTAGTAGTAGTAGTAGTAGTAGTAGTAGTAGTAGTAGTAGTAGTAGTAGTAATAATAATAATACGAATAATAACAATAATAATGCTAATACTAATAATGATACTAATAATACTGATAATAATAATACTACTAATAATATTATTAATAATGCTAATACGAATAATAATAATAACAATACTACTAATAATACTAATAGTACTAATACTAATAATGATGATAATAAACCGTGGGCACGACCGCGGTGCCAAGGGCAGCACTGAGCTGCCGTGGACTGCCCAGGTGGTGCAGCTTCTATAGGAGCTAAACAACCAGGAAGCATGCACCAAGAGCCGGCAGGTCCCGATGGGGAGGCCTGCAGACAGAGACCTGGGCTGGCCTCGCTGACCTGGTCGGCCGTCGTTCTGCTTGCGATATGCGTGGCGGTGTCGAGCACGGCACGGGGACCGAAGTCGCCCTGGGCGTGTCGGACATAGAAGCCTGTCGGGCACGAGCCCGGCATGCAATCGCACTGCACCGCAAGACGGGGAGGCGATCACCGACGCGAAAGGTGGCGCGGGAGACCCGAGAGAACCTTGCCCTTACTCTTCACCTCTTCCGCGATCTTGTCCACCGTCGCAAACGAATCGTCGTCCGCCACCTCTGCGAACACGCAATACCCGCCACCGCCCCACTCTGGGGCCGTCCAGTGCGGGGTCGAACCCTTGCGAATCTTCCGCAGAAGGCTCGGAGGAGGTGGGGAGCAGGAGGAGGAGGATGAGGAGGAGGAGGGGGAGGAGGGGGGGGGGAGGAGGAGATGGAGGAGGAGGAGGAGGAGAGGAGGAGGAGGAGAGGAGGAGGAGGAGGAGAGGAGGAGGAGGAGGAGAGGAGAAGGAGGAGAAGGAGGAGGAGGAGGAGGAGGGGTCGTCTAAGCCCTTCGGAGCAACCCTCCAGCCCTCTCCCGACTGGCACGCTTTTCTTGTCGCCCACCCAGCGGGCGCGCAGGTCGGTCGATCGGCCGCGGAGGGAAGGGAGTGAGAAGGCGGCCCCCGCAGACAGTGTAGGTCTTGCGGCGGCGTGCAGCGGCCCGCGGGGGAGGCGCAGCCCTCCTCCTCCTTCTGGTTCTCCTCCTCCTCCCCTCCTCTATTCTCTCTCCTCTCCTCCTCCTCCTCCTTCTCCTCCTCCTCTATTCTCTCTCCTCCTCCTCCTCCTCCTCCATCTCCTCTTCCTCCTCCTCCTCCTCCTCCTCCTCCTCCCCTTCTTCCTCCTCCATGCCTTTTCTTTCTACATAACTTCTCCCTGTCGCACCCGGACGCATTTTTTGGGGCCGGGCCGGGCGTTTCGCCTAAGACTTCCTCACAATTTATGACTCTGAAGTTTAAAGAGCGACAACCGTTTCACAGATGGAGGGCGGGTCGTTTTCAAGATGTGGCTCTCGACTTAGCACCGCGCACATCCGTTTTCAAACATTGCAAGAGTTTCATGGACTGAGGGCGGGTCGTCTTCAAAATGTGGCCCTCGCCGTAGCGCCGCGCATACGCGTTTTAAACATTTGCAAGAGTTTCACGGTCTGAGGGCGGGTCGTTTCCAAAATGTGGTTCTCGCCTTAGCACCGTGCACATTCGCTTTTAAAAGTTGCAAGAGTTTCGCGGACTGAGGGCGGGTGATTTTCAAAACGTGGCTTTCTCCTTGGCGCCGCGCACATTCGTTTTATACATTTGCACGAACTTCACAGATTGAGGGCCGTTCCTTCTCAAGATGTTGCTCTCGCTGTAGCGCCGCGCACATTCGCGTTGACAGAACTTGCAAGAGCTTCACGGACTGAGGGCAGTTCCTTTTCAACATGTGGCTCTCGGCTTAGCGCCGCGCGCATTCGTTTTAAACATTTGCAAGGGTTTCACATATTTCCATGATCAGCGTACCAGACATGATGTTTGCAAATATGAAGGATCATGCGGGTGCAACAGTTATGTTGATTCGCGGTGTTGAAGTCCCCAAACAATGGCGTTCTGGTGCGATTCGCGATCGTCAAGACGCAGCAGCCAGTTTAATCGGTGGCGTTGAAATCCCGAGAACAATGTTTTGGCATGCTTCAGGATCTTCAACAAGTTGTCTTCCAACGAGGCAGTTCCCTCAACGGGAATGAACCGTTGTAGGGGCCCATGAAGAGGGAGCTTGGAGGGAGGGTTCATTCCAACATCGTTGATGACTCTTGGGTTTGCACTGGTCCTCCTCCTCCTCCTCTTCCTCCTCCTCCTCCTCCTCCTCACTCCTCTTCCTCCGTCTTCCCAGCGTACGGTGTGCCCCAGGAGGCAGGAGGCGTGCGACGGCAGGAATTGCACTCTGGGGCGCGCGTGCAGCAGCAGCCAGCAGGCAAAGGCCCCGCGGAGGCAGAGCCGGTGGCGCCCCCGGGCGGCGCGCCACGAGGACCCGCAGCACCTCCTGGGCGGTTCCCCCCCTGAGTCTTGGGTCCTAGCCCGGCGCTCCCCCGGGAGCGCCCCGGGCGCGGCGCAGCCGCCGGCGCCCAGGCTGGACACCCGCCGGGAGCGGACGAGAACGTCCGAAGACCTCGAACCTCGAGTGGCCGAAACGCCTCCCCACCCGGGCGCACGCCTCCGAGGCTCGAGGCCTCCCCCCCCCCCTCCTCCAGGGTGCTGCGGCAGGGCGGCGCGCCTTCCCTGGGTGCCCCACCTGGCGGGCGAGCGGCCTTCGCACGGCTGTGCGAAAGCAGGAGGGAGGGGGGGGGGGCGCCCGCGGTGGAGGAGGCGCAGCCCTACTCCTCCTCGTCCTCCTCCTCCTTCTCCTCTATCTCCCTCCTCTCCTCTTCCTCCTCCTCCTCTCCTCCTCCTCCTCCTCCTCCTCCGCCGCCTCCGCCGCCTCCATCATCTCCTCCTCCTCCTCCTCCTCCTCCTCCTCCTCCTCCTCCTCCCCTCCTCCCCTCCTCCCCCCTCCTCCCTCCCCCCTCCTCCCTCCTCCCCTCCTCCTCCTCCTCCTCCTCCTCTCCTCCTCCTCCTCTTCCTCCTCCTCCTCCTCCTCCTCCTCCTCCTCCCCCTCCTCCTCTGTCCTCTTCTTCCTTCTCCCCAGCGTACGGTGTGCCTCAGGAGGCAGGAGGTGTGCGAAGGCAGGAGGCGGGGCCCGAGGACGCGCGAGGGCGCCCGGTGGGGGGCCTGCGGGGAGGCGTAGCCTGCCGGATCCCCCGTACACGTCGTCCAAGTGCGTGTTGGCCTGCAGGTTGATGAAGAACTCCGTGTTCCCGTTGTCGGGAACGTCCCTGGGGTCTCGATGCCAAGTTTCAGTTTCGGTAGCCCTGGGCTGCCCCTCCCGGCTTCCCTCCCTCTGCTGGCACTTCTTCGGCGCGCCACCGCATTCCTTGGTACATCCGTACCTCTTTTTCCCTTCAGCCTCTCCCGCTACAGATCCTCGCCCTCTTATTTTGGATCGTTCATGCCCTCTCTCTCAATTTTTGTTCTCTCTCTCTCTCTCTTTCTGTCTTCCTCCCTCCCCCCCTCCTCTCCCCTCCCGCTCTATCTGTCTCCCGCTTGCCGGCACCTTCTCTGTGTGCACGACTTCGTCTGCGTCGCTTGCGTCTTCATCTGTGCCTCAGCTGGCGCCTTCTCGTACGTCTGCAATCACGTGTACGTGCTCGTCCTCGCTTACGGTTGCGCCTGCTATGTTGCCTGGAAGTCCACGCCGAAGTCCACGTCTACGTCCATAAATGCGCATACAACTGTACCTACCGATTTCACGCGTGCCACCTCATGCATTTCTGTATCTGACCTTTCAAATACGCCAATGTCTAGTACGAGTCAACATTTCACGCGTTCGGAAGACACCTCTGGGAAATTCACGTCTACCGCGTGCGAGCCCACTGCGTGTGCATGCGCACTTCTCTCGGGTCGTCTACACCTCTGCGCCAGCACTTTATGTTCTCTCCGGTCTCGGCTTCTGCTTGTGCCGCTGGGCTGGCTCGGGCCGTCTACTCCTGCACCGCCGCTTGTTTGCCAGAACCCAGCTGGTGTCGGCGCCGCCTTTGGCGAACCGTCCAGCTTCTCCCTCTCCGCTTCCCTCTCCCCCAGGCTGCGCGCCTGGCGTCCCGTTTTTCGCCTGCCTCCATTCGTCAGCCTGTTTCGTTGTTATTGTCGTTGTTGGTGCTGCTGTTGCTGTTGCTGTTGCAGCTGTTGTAGTTGTTGTGGTTGTGGTTGTCGTTGTGGTTGTGGTGGTGGTGGTGATAGTTGTGGTTGTGGTTGTGGTTGTGGTTATTGTTGTTATGGTTGTTGTTGTTGTTGTCGTTGTTGTTGTTATTGTTGTTTTGTTTGTTTATTTGTTTGTCTGTCTGTTGGTTTGTTTGCTTGTTATTGTGCTGTTCACGCCGTACTCTGTTTTGAATAAAAAAATAACAAAATTGCGCACCCCTGCAACGACTGTGCCACTGGATTGCACCAAGCAAGCCCGGAGCCACACAAAGACCAGGCTCATCGTGCATTCGTCCGACTCTGCTGTTCGTTGTCGGCTCCGCCCGACTTTAAACATGGGCTTGCGGCCGTGTTGGTGCTCCTTCACCGGGAACTCAACTTACCTAAGCGTGGCTCAGTCTAGTACTCTTGGACCAACTGACTGCGTACACCAGCGCAGGGGAGGAACGAATGTGTACGTGCACACGTGCCCGACAGGTCGTCTTGCAGCTCACGCGATGGTGGCGTCTGTTCACCCCCAAAGGGTTGCCGTTGCGACTGCAAGAAGTCTTCAATCAGTGCGTCGCAGACAATCACACTGCCAACCTTACGAGTGACCTGCGTAGCATTTTATGTTTGCAGCGGCATGCTGGCAAGATACTGTGCCAAGAACGTTGGTCAAAATACATGATGTAATGTACGCGCTACCGCGGGCACTTCGACCCTCTTAGTTTTAATGGGCCTCTACTGCGCCGCGGGGCTTGACATAATTTTGGTCCCTCCCTGGTCGCGGCGAGAACTCTAAAGACGATCAATTGCCACCACAAGTCGTGTAAATCTACGCGTCCCCTTACGTTTACATGTCCGTGTATGCACACGCGTGCGCTCACCTCCACCTCCACCTCAATTTCGAGCTCCACCTCCACATCAACCTCCACGTCCACCACCAGCCCGATTCCACTCCGCTTCCACCATCGCACCCGCCTGTTCCTCTCCGTCCACTCCTGCCTATGCATCCACCTCCATCTCCACCTCTACCGCCATCTTCATCTCAACCTCTCTCTCTACTTCTGCTTCCACCCCTACCTTTTCACACCTCCACCTCCCTGTCCACCTCCATCTCCACTTTCCACGTTCATGCTCACGTTCACTCCCGCCTCCCCTCCCCATCCATTTGGCAAGTTCGACCTTCGCCTCCACGTCTCCTCCATCTCCTCTCCTCCACCTCCGCGTCTCACCCCATGTCTTGCCTCGTCTTGCCATCCAACGTCGCTATTATCCCTGCCTTCACCTCCTCTGCTTTAATTTACATCCACATCGCCCTCCTCCTCCGACTTCACCTCGGCCTCATCACTCTCTTCTGCCTCCTCCTCCTCAACCTTCTATTTCGCCTCCGCCTCTATGTTCACCTCCAGCCCTGCCTCGATCTTAACATATACTTTTACTGATACCTCTGCCTTTTCGACTCCGGTCTCCTGCCTCTTACCTCTTGCCCTCTGACTCCTGCCCACTTCTACATCCATCTGATTCCACGTCCATCTCTATGCATCCTGCTACCGTGCCCCCAAACAATTTTCTGAATCTCTTTCTCTTTCCCTCTCTCTCGTGCTCTCCTTTTTTCCAATCATCCTGTGGTATTGGGTCCTCGTTTTGAAGAGACAGCGCCCCGCGTCCCCTCCTTCCTTCGTCCTCTGGCTCCTCCCTCCTCCCATCCGTGCCTTTGCCCTCCGCACCAATCGCTCATTTCGGTACACCTTTCACAGGTTTCGTGGCCCCATAGGGGGCTCCACCCAAGGCCCACACGGTGCCGCACACATGCGTCCGCGCCGGTCCGCGCCACCCATTTCGGCACACCCCTCACATGCTTCGTGGCCCCATAGGGAGCTCCACCGAGGGCCCTAGTGGTGCCGCCCGCATGCGTCCCCGCTAAATGTTATTATAACGCTCTTTTATACTGCTTGTTCCCCCCCCCTCGTGCCGTCCTCTTCTGTGTCCTCCCTCGGCTCTGCCGTCCACAAGATTTCGGCTCTAAGCTTGGGGTCCCAGCGGACCCGTGGGCAGAGCCGTTCCTTTTTGGAAGATTGCACGGGTCGGGCGCCGCCCGACGGCCTGGCCATCCCCCGAGGAGGGCCCAGACCCTCGTCACCACGAGGGCGTGGTGGTACGTCGCGGCCTGCGCGGCGGGGTGGATCGGGCCCGATCTCGCCGAGGAGGGCCGACCTCTCTTCTGGGTCGCGGAGGCCGACGAACAGTACGACTCGTACAGCGCGGACTTCGAGGACGCCGCTGGGCAGGTGATCATCGTTGGAACGAAGGCGTCAGTCGTGATGGCGCCGTGGGCGAGGTGGAACCGCATTTACCTCAAGACGGGGAGCAGCAGCGGCAGCGTCATGCTGCTGATCAGCAAGATCGGCAAGTCGAACAGCACGCTCTGGACGTGCGCCGACCCCACCCTGCGGGTCCAGGTCGTCAACGTCCGTGACAAGGACAGGGTTTTCACGAAACCCAGGGTGGGCATCCAGTGGACGGAGCACCCTGGGTTGAGCGCGGCCTCGCGCGACCTCGTGCTGGCGGCCTCGGAGAAGCTCATCGCGAGGCGGGAGCTCGAGGGCGAAGGGGCCGCACACAAGCCCAGCCCGAAGGCCAAGGCGGCCCCGAAGTCTAAGAGGACTGGGAAGAAGAAGGAGCACTTCGTGTGGTGGGCCGTCGGCGGCGCCGTCAACCTGGTGAGCTTCGTGTGGCTCCGCCGCTCGGGCGGGTTCTGCGTGGCGGCGGGCTTCTTGGGCTGGCGCGCCTGGCGGGCGCTGGGGCTTGGTTCGGCTCTCAAGTCTTTCTACGACATGATTGTCACGGCAGGAGAGGCGGCTCATGAGGCTGGACAGTACTACGAGATGGCCGAAGATGTGGGAGAGCGGCGAGCTCGAGACGATCATCACCACCTTGGGCTGCGTGGTGGCGGGTGCCTACATCTTGTTTTGGATGTTCCACGGCGGGCGCAAGCTCTGGTCAGGGGACTCGGACACGGAGAGCGAGGCCTCGGATTCGGACTTCGTGGCGGGGACCCAGGTGGCCGACTCGGACGACGAGCCTGACGCGCGGCATCTCTATGCGGAGCTCGCTAGGGGGCAGTCGGCCCTCCAGGCGAGCGTCGCCTCCCTGGCCGAGGCGGTGGCGGGCAAGACGGGCGCGGGGCACGACGAGCCGTCGACGCCGAAGAAACCGCAGAGGCGCCTCCACTTCGAGAGCGACAGCGAGGACCAGCCGCCCGAGAAGCCCTCGGGTACTCAGGTGGACGCGTTCCTGAAGAAGCTGCAGGAACACGAGCGCGTGGTCTCGGAGGACTCGGGCCGCGCCACCAAAGGGGGTGCGCCGACCTCGGCCTCTTCTACGCCAACGAGCTGGGATAAGGTCTCCGCGGGATCCGCGGGGGTGCGAGACACCGTGGCGCAGCTCGAGATCGAGGCCCGCAACCCGAAGGAAGGGCTCCTCGCCACGCTCAAGTCCTACCGCGAGGTGGACGGGGGCCGGGTCGGCAGGGTCCAGGCTCGAGTGGCCCCGACGGTGCTCGCGCGCCTCTACAAGTCAGGGCGGGGCGCGCGGGCCGAGCTGGACGACTGGCTCAGGCAGAAGGAGCTCGTCAAGTGCTCCATCGCGTCGGAGGTGTACATGCTCGGGGCCGTCTTGGACAAGATGATGTCGGCGGGCGAGTTCGACTCCTTGATCAACTCGCAGGCGGCCGAGCTCACGTGCTTGCGCTTGTACTCGATATTCAAGGCCTACGAGCTCGTCGAGCAGGAGGCGGATTGGCGACGCCCGAAGTCGGCGAATGGCAGCAAGTGGAAGTCCAAGGTGAACTGGGCCTACGCGGAGGAGTTCCTGGACTTGGCGAGGCAGACCAGCCCTGGCGTGCTGGCGGCGGACGACGAGGTGGCGGAGCGTCTCAAGCGGAAGGCTGCGATCAGCAAGCACCTCGGCGGGCTCGGCGAGGCAGGCGGTCGTGGCCATGCGGACGAATAGGTTGCGGCAGGAGGTTTCACGGCTACCTCTTGCCAAGCCAGCACGCAGTGCATAAGTCCGTGTAGCTTGATCGCCCAGAGTC